AACGAAGACAACAGGAGGGTTAAAAAGCTCCAGGTAGAAAGTGAGTCCTGTTGCTCTCCTCCAGGTTTCTAACATGTCCCCCTTTAACTGTGGGCTTTCTCTGGAAGTGTTTCCTTGTCCGATGTGAGGCTCGAGGACAGAGGGGGTCGTATTGATACAAACTGTGAAGTCCACTGAGACACATGTAACATTGGTGATATTGGGCTGTATAAATAAACATTGATTGATTGATCCAGACCTGGAGGTGAAACATGGCTTCAGTGGGTTTAACAGTGGAAGCAAATGATGCATTTCCCATACTTCCCCCTCCTCTCCTCCTCCCCTCTTCCCCCTCCTCTCCTCCTCCCCTCTTCCCCCTCCTCTCTTCCTCCTCTCCTCTCTTCCTCCACTCCTCCTCCTCTCCTCTCTTTGTCTCCATGTGTTTTCTGAACACAGTGATTGGCGTTCTCCTGAGAGTTTGCAGGTTTCCTCCAGAACGCTCCTTGTATTGTCTGAAGAATTAGCTTCACGCTCTCTGCCGAGTCGACTGCTGTCAAATCTGTGTGAGTTGCTGGAAACAGTCTTTAAAGTTCCTGCAGGCTCTTAAAGGGGTAGACTTTGTCTTTCTTGATGTGCTTTGAACAAAATGACTTACAGCAAGGCACCTGCAGCATCAGCACCTGCAGCAAGGCACCTCAGCATAAGGCACCTGCAGCAAGGCACCTGCAGCATCAGCACCTGCAGCATCAGCACCTGCAGCAAGGCACCTGCAGCAAGGCACCTGCAGCAAGGCACCTGCAGTCACCTGCCCCTTGCTCCAGTGCCACAGCTTTGTGAGAGAGTGGGAATTGGCAAGATGAATAGCACCCGCCCTCTACTCGGCTATGTGAGTTGTGTCAGTGGGTAGAGATGAAAAGGGAGTCGGAATTTAGAAAATATATTTGTTCAATCTGAGTAATTTATTCATTGAAAAGGGGTCCTAATGAAGGGGTCCTAATGAAGGGGTCTATAATGAGCCTAATTGAATTGATATATGGCCCGAATGGACCAAATAATTAAATATTGGCAAACAATAGTCACATTATGATATTCTCAGTATCTTTAATTTGCTCCCTGACCCAGGACATGTGTATTTTGACACCAAGATTGAGCTTCTAAATGGCTTGGAAGCCGAGATATTGGAACTTATAGCTTTTGCATGGCGGCTCATCTTGGGAAATCTAAGATGAGCCGCATGCGCCATCTTGATGAAGTGNGGGGCTGCAACAGATCTGATACAGACTGATCCAGATTTGAACACTTCTATGACGTCACAGAAGTGGCGCTACGGCTATTGGGCCAACTCCACCAACCTGATTGGTGGAGTTGGCCCAATAGCCGTAGCGCCACTTCTGTGACGTCATAGAAGTGTTCAAATCTGGATCAGTCTGTATCAGATCTGTTGCAGCCCCTTTTTAAGAGATTTGGGTATGGAGGAAAATAGAGAGGGTTGTGTTTTCTGACACTTGGTGAGTTCCCTGACACACCGGGGACACATATTCATGTAGAAAAGACGTACAAAGGTGCATTTTGCATGATAGGTCCCCTTTAATTTGTATTAATACATAGTACTTCTCATGATATCTAATAATAATAATAATAATAATAATCTAGATTTCAATACTTTTTTGGATCTTTATTATAGCTTTTAAAATTAATCTAGATTTTCTTGTATTTACGTTTTTTTTCTTAAATTGATTTTTTTTTTTTTAAATGAATCCGGAAGTTTTTTTAGGGGCATATTTAGAAGTGTTGCAGGTCAATACATAATCTCTAATATACTCTTGATCAATTACATTGAAAAGGCTCTAATATATTTTAAAATAAATAAATTATAAGAAATACATTCCTACTTTTTTTAAATTTTCAAAGTCTCAATCACTGAATTGTATTTAATTGAATAATAATGCACATAGATATTTTTAACACTCATTCTCCTCGACAGATAAAAGCGTGTAATCTGAACTTCCACCACTTGGTTGCGCTGTTGTATTTCCCATGCAGTGAAACCTCCTCTGTGTTCAGATGCTGCTTTTATTCACCGCAGGGGGGCAGCAGCAGACCCTCAGAGACCGAAAGGTAGCCTTGGACTTTATATTTGTATTTAATAGAAGCCTCAGCTTGTTTTTTAAATCCACTGGATATTAATTTCATCAGATTTCTGGTGGATATTCGTGTGTACGAGGCCAACAGGGAGTGGATGTAGGGGATCACTTTGCTTTCTTTCCCAAATAGGTAGGATATAATAACAGATATATAGGAAAAAGGGAATATAATATTATGAATTAAATGCATTTTAGAGTAAAGTAACTTGTATTTCTAACTATACAACACCAGTGGATTTTGCTATACAAAGCAGTTTTCCCTTTACAGATATTATGCTAAGCTAAGCTATCAGTCCCAGTTTTGTAACAGTAATAGTGTGCTGCATTTATTCTCCTTATATGATTTTTAATTGAAATATCTTTGGTTTTTGGACTGTGGTTGGACAAAACCAGCAATTAAAGACTTAATATATATTTATATTTTTACTACAAGAGTACTTTCCCCACCCTGTTTCTGTACCATGATATATACACTCAGAGGTGGGTTGTAGTGGAGTTCAAATACTTTGTTACTGTACTTAAGTACATTTCTCTGGTATCAGTACTTTACTCCACTACTTATTTTTTGGAAGACTTTTTACTTTGACTTCTTACATTTTGAACCCAAACACCTGTGCTTTCTACTTCTCACATGTTGAACCCAAATACCTGTACTTTCTACTTCTTACATGTTGAACACAAATACCTGTACTTTCTACTTCTTACATGTTGAACACAAATACCTGTACTTTCTACTTCTTACATGTTGAACACAAATACCTGTACTTTCTACTTCTCACATGTTGAACTCAAATACCTGTACTTTCTACTTCTTACATTTTGAACACAAATACCTGTACTTTCTACTTCTTACATTTTGAACACAAATACCTGTACTTTCTACTTCTTACATGTTGAACACAAATACCTGTACTTTCTACTTCTTACATGTTGAACACAAATACCTGAACTTTCTACTTCTCTCATTTTCCAAACAGGCTGGTTCCTTTAGTTTGAATGTGTGTTTGGTGGCGTGATCATTATTATTTAGAGTCATGGCGTGCCTATTGATTTGAACACGATCCGTGTATCCATCATTTCCTGGTCTTCTCTAAAGAAGAGGGACCAATGAAAACGTTGTCATGTTGCCGTTGTTCTGCATGGAAACATTCATTAGCTAACAATGACATTATTGTTCTATTAATATAAAGGGAGGTCAGGTACTCTTTAAAACAGCTGCTAGTTATGGGTACTTTTTACTGAAGTACATTTCAAATCCTCTC